GGGGGGGGTGTTTCCATTAAAAATGGGTCACACTATATATATATATAGTATATGTATGTATCAAAACTACTCTGGAGTAATATTTGATTTCCAGGAGCATTTCCAAATCCTCTACCACTCTCAATTTCCGAAATTCCACTTTCCGAAATTCTCTCTCAGTCTCAATTTCCGAAATTCCGAAATTCCACTTTTTTAAACATGAAAGAAAGAGTGTACAGAGAGCATGTGAAAGTGACGGCGACGACATCTTCCCATACGATAATGACATCTATGGTATCGACTGAAAACTTCTTTCTCGAATATCAAAGATGAACGAATGCACTGCTGGACATTTTTAGAGCCCGTTTCGAAAATTTGGTTTGAACTAAAGCTCAAATTCTAGTTCGAAGTTTAATTTAAACTCTAGTTCAAATTAATTTTATAACTCCTGCAACATTTCGCCGATTAATTGGTTCCGATTATAGCAGTTATATTCATTGTTGACGAGTTGACATTTTCTAGGGAATGTGTGGACAAGAATATCATTAACAGTATTACGAATTTTGACAAGCACACCGATATCAAATTCATAGCAAATTACACTGCTTATGAATGTTTTATCATCGAACATGAAGCATATTTGCTAAGTTGGATTTGTATATTTATATATACCCTGAATGATGTTCACCTGTATCAAATCATAGACTGTGGAATATCATTGCTATCAAGTTTGTGGAATACCCTAACCTGATGGGTAATTCAACGGGAGCGTTCCAGGCAGCCCCTTCAAGACGATCCGAAAACATTGCCAATCATCACAAAGCCTCAGCAGACTGCCAATCACTCAACTTTACCCTGTCTTACCTAAGACACACTGGACTGTGAATAAAAACTTCAACCAAGCAGTTTCAGTGACTGAACCAAAAGACACTAATCAATCAGTGAGGCACAAAGTCGTATGAAGGACTTGGGCTCTGTGTAAACTGAATTTCAAGTTAAAGGACTTTCGATTCGAATCGTATCTAGAATAGTTTTCCGTTGAAGAATAAATTAATAATAAATATGGAAATGATTGAGAAGAAAATTCACCAAGGCATTGGTAAACCAAATACCGGCGTAAAGAACTACAGTGAATCGTGAGTGAATATGGCCTTTATTGGAATGTGCGGACTATAGTACAAAAGGAGATACGTTCACTCCTATTTCAATGACAATTTTGTAATTAGAAGTAATATTTCTTTAGGGAACCCTTAATCATAGCACGCTTGACATCCCCACTGAAAGTCGAGTAACTTGAGAGGATCCCTGTTCCGTTTTCATTATTGAATTCGACATTAGGTGGTGTTGTTGTATTAAATGATATAGAAATAAAATACTTTGTCTAATTTCCACTTACTTAATGTATTGATATTAATACGACCAAGGTTTCGGTTGAGGTCAAAGCCACTTGAAAGAAAAATCGTTCAAATTGATTGCTTTGATGTTTTAAAAAATTTGTCAAACAATCAACCTCGTTATCAAAAGGGTCAAAAAGACCCTTTTGATAACGAGGTTGATAACCCCATGAAAAATACCTGTCAAGTATCTAATAAAGAAACAAAACTTGATTTCTTAAAGGTCGAGTCTTGCGAGGCCAAAACATCGTCAGTTTTGAGTACCAATATGGAAATGAACGAAATCATCCACTAACATTCGAGACGGAAAATATAAAAATAGCTATTTTGATCGGTAGAATTTCCTGGAGGAACTTAAACTGCATCCCCTAACTGAATAGTAGTTGAAAAGTTTTGAAAAAGAATAAAGTATTAAGTCAGTCGTACGCGGGTCCCTGACCGGGTCGGTTGGACTCCGAAGGAGGTTCCTGGGGAAATTCTTGACTGAGTTGAAATACGAGATATTTCAAGTCACTGTTTTGCGAAGTGATCTCGTTCTGTTAGTTATCAGCATTTTATTTGGCTACTTGATTTGAGGTAAAAAAAGGTATCAGCGTACGAAGTCAGAAGTAGGTCAATTGAATTTCCTACAGAGTTCTGGAAATTCTTGAGTGAAGTGAAATACGAGATATTTCAAGTCACTGTTTCGAGAACTGATATCGGTATTCGGGAGTTATTCGCGTTTTATTTATGTTTAATCTGTTTGAATCTATTTTTCCCTTAATTAGCTGCTGTCGCCCTCATACGAACGACAACTCTCTGAAGTTGAGAAACTTATGCGAGCTAAGGACTAACGGGGTCTTACCTTTTAACGTGTGATTCCTAACACGGTTGCAGAATCATACCAGCTTCAACCAGATAAATTCTCTCGAGAAAAATATCTGGTCGAGGCGGGAATCGAACCCACGGCCTTCCGACCGTGAGACGGGCGCACTACCACCGCGGCCAATTCCACGATTTGAGGTAAAAAAAGGGTACTAGAATTCGAAGTCAGAATTAGGTCAGTAGAATATCCCACAGAGGTCTGTAAATTCTTGACTGAGTTGTCATTGTTTCGCGAAGTAAGTTCGGTATTTAAAAGCTATTCGCGTTTTATTTGGCTAGTTGAATTGAGCTGAAAGGGGTCTCGTACGTATTCAAAAGTAGGTCAGTTAGATTTCCTGAGTATGGGGAAAATACGAGTGAGTGAGTTGAAATACGAGATATTTCAAGTCACTGTTTCGCGAAGTGAGTTCGGTATTTAAGAACTATTCGCGTTTTAGGTATTTGGTTTGTTGAATTGAGGTAGAAGGGGTCTCGTACGTATTCAAAAGTAGGTCAGTTGGATTTCCTGAGTGTGGGGAAATTCTTGAGTGAGTTGAAATACGAGATATTTCAAGTCACTGTTTCGCCAAGTGATTTCGTTACTCAGTCGCGGTTTATTCGGCTAGTCGATTTGAGGGAACATTTCGGGTTCCTAGTAAGAGTATTTCTCGTTCTCAGACTAGAGGAAAGTTTCAGCATCGATTGTTATATGCATATTTATGTGTTTCATATTTTCAAGGTAGCGCCCAAGGCATTGTTGAAAATTATCATGTTCTATGAATCGGGTTCCCTTCTTCATTATCAGGTCATTATAAGGTTATAGCTTCTTAAGAAAGTTATACAAAGAGAAACGATTAGGGTAGGAAAGGGTAATTGGGATCACTTAAGCAATAATTGAAATAAATAAATGAAATTAAACAAAATTTTTATTGCAACAGGCTCATAACGAAATCTACTCAATTGGCTATCATTTGAGATTAGTAATAATCACTTCAATAATCATCTTTGGGAAATATAAAAGTGAAAAAAATAAACTATTTTGATTCCCATTGCACTGAGCTAAGGGTAATTGTGGTCACCTTGTGGGCAATGAGAATCATACAAATATTTAACACAAATCGCTAACATAACCCTTGGCCGACTCCCACCCCGTACAATCTGCGTGAGCCCATAAACCTGGACTATCTTCCACTGCCTAAACCACTGTGCATGCTGTTTTCGGCGAGTGAATTGGCTTGGGATGTGGGGGTTGAGCAAACCGGCCATCGGATGCCTGCTTCTACGTAGCCCCGCTGGATACGGAAATGACAGAATCACTTGTGGCATCGCCTTGTCACGGTAATGCGGGGCTGACCTTCTTTCCCTAGCAACTCGTGGGACCTTTATGGACGAAGTAAACTTGAAAATTCTTTCTGACGCTGAGTCTATAGAGGAGATGGATATCGAGCTAACGACTCCAATTTGACCTCCCTGTAAACTTAGATCAGAAGCGAGTCAACAGAGGAGATGGATGTCGAGTTTACGACTCCAACTGATCTTCCTGTAAAATGTAATCCAGGAGCGAGTCTACAGAGGAGATGGATGTCGAGTTTACGACTCCAACTGACCTCCCTGTACATTTAGTTCAGGAGCGAGTCTACAGAGGAGATGGATGTCGAGTTTACGACTCCAACGGACCTCTCTGTAAATCTAGTTCAGTAGCGAGTATACAGAGGAGATGGATGTCGAGTTTACGACTCCAACTGACCTCCCTGTAAATTTAACCCAGGAGCGAGTCTACAGAGGAGATGGATGTTTACGACTACAACTGACCTCCCTGTAAATTCATTTCTGGAGCGAGTCTACAGAGGAGATGGTTGTCGATTTTATGAGTCCAACTAACCTCCCTGTAAATTTGATTCAGGAGCGAGTCTCCAGAGAAGATGGATGTCGAGTTTACGACTCCAACGGGCTTCCCTGTAAATTTAGTTCAGGAGCGAGTCTACAGAGGAGATGGATGTCGAGTTAACGACTCCAGCTGA